AGAGGAAACGTCGATTATGATGCAGAAGATTAAAGACGCTTCTTTGGATTCGACACCTGTGAATTTGAGCGAAATGTTTGTTTTGCTGACTAATGATATTGTATGCAGATCGGCTTTTGGGAGGAAATACGGTGGAGGGGAAACTGGAAAGAAATTCAAGCTGCTGTTGGGCGAATTCTTGGAGTTACTGAACGGAGGAAGTTTAGTCAAATCTGTGCCCTGTCTCCGCTGGATTAATCGAGTTAATGGTTACGATGCCAGAGTGGATCGCGTTGCTAGAGAAGTAGATGAGTTCTTGGAGGGCATGGTCCAAGAAAGGTTGGATGGTGCAGTGGAAAAATATTCCTACAGGCCAAGTGGTGAGACGATTGATGGTGAAAGCAGAGAAGACTTCCTTGATATTTTGCTGAAAATCTATAAAGATAACGCAACGGGTGTAACCATGGACAAGGACAGCGTCAAAGCTATAATATTGGTAAGCACAATTTTCTCTGCGCAGTGAATATAAAATTATTAAGCTTCATTTTCTGAGTATAAAATCATTAAGCTTCTATAAAATCATTTTTTCTGAATATAAAATCATTAAGCTTCATTAAGCTTCATCTCTGATCATTCTCACGGACAATCAACAAATCATTGATTTTAAGTGTATATGTTTTTGACTGTAGGATGTATTCTCTGCTGGAACTGATACCACGGCTACAGTTGCAGAATGGGCAATGGCAGAGATCTTAAGACACCCCATTATCCTAAAGAAATTGCAAACTGAAATAAGAGGGGTTGTTGGTGGCAAAGAACAGATATCCGAGGATGACTTGGCCGAGATGCATTATTTGAAAGCAGTGATCAAGGAAACTCTTCGCTTACATCCTCCAATTCCGTTGCTGGTTCCTAGAGAAGCAAGAGAAGATGTCAAAATAATGGGATATGATATTGCAACTGGTACAATGGTGATCATCAATGCTTGGGCAATAGGTAGAGATCCTGCATATTGGGATGAACCTGTGAACTTTATGCCCGAGAGATTTATGGATTCGTCTATAGATTTCAAAAGGTATGATTTCCAGTTAATCCCATTTGGTGCTGGTAGGAGGGGTTGTCCTGGAATCGCTTTTGCTGTTGCCAGTAATAAACTTGTGTTGGCAAATTTGGTAGGCAAGTTTGATTGGCAATTTCCCGGAGCATAGGGAAAAGAGTTGGATATGACAGAATGCCCTGGCGTTGCAGTTCGTTGCAAAATTTCTCTTCTTGTTATTCCATCCCCACTTCCTTGAATTCTTAACATGGCCGAATGCTGCAGATTCTGTATTCTTGTCTTGATACAAGTGTTGGATTGATTCTTGAGAAGGGTTGCAATCGCACCGTGCAATACAAGGTCTCATCTTTGGCCTAGGAGCCGTGGTAAGTCTGGAACATTTTTTCATCAACCTCCCAAACTTAGTCGGCCTCCTTCGACTCGATCTGAGACCGTCCATTGCACAGTGTGGTTACAGATGTTCCAAAACCTTGATTCTTACTCTTCGTGCTCTTTCCCAAGGCTGCTTCTTTCTTGTAATAAAAACTAGTAAATTTATGTAATTATGGCCTTTGCAAATTTCCCCGTTACAGTACCGAAAATAAAGAAAATCTTTCATCTCTGCTATAATTTTGTTCCATGGAAAAGGACTATTGATAGGGTAATCACATTGTTCGAATGCCAAAGACCGGAATCATTTTTCTTGGGACTTCAACCTTTTTTGTTTTAGTTACCAGATCAAAGTCTCGTTCGCTCTATAAGCCAAACCAACCAATTGAACTGAAAGTCTCCGGCTCAACTACATAGTTTATGCAGTAATCCTACTTCATTTCATCTTCAAAAAATTGTAGTATAGAAAATGAGGAGGCACCAAACTTGTTATCGTGAATAGTACAATTAGGGGTGGGCAAAAATTCGATTCGATCCGAAACCCGACCAACCCGATCCGATCCGAAAAATTGGATATCCGATCATATTTTTCTTGGCGGGGTAGATGCGGGTCGAGTACCCGCAAAAACAGATACGGATACGGATCAGCAAAATAAAAACTCGCGGATACCCGACCCGTAGGGTATATTATATAAATATTAAAAAAATAAGGGTTCATTATATAATTTTATAATTTTTAATCATAACTGTAAGTAAAGTGGTTCACAACCTCATATTTTAATCTCATATGATCTGCCTCTGCTCATCTTGTCTAAAAAAAGTGAATATTTTTGGTGAAACCTGAACCAAATGAATAAACAAAGAAAAATTTGTAAAACTCTATCATAAAAATTGTTCATCCCTTTCATCCTTTTTCATTTTTATTCTACTTCCATCGATCTTTTCTGCAAAATTTTGATCAATTCAATCAAAAATTTGTGTTTGGAGCTCCAATTTTCTGTTAGCTAGATAATTAAAACATTTGTCTCTTTCATTTATTTATTTATTTTATTGCAATTGTGTCTCTTAAATTTGTTTCCTTTATTTTAGTACAAGAAATTTATTTTTCTTTTTCATCACCTTTAATGCAACAAGGTCTATTCCAAAGATGTAAGAAAGTTGGGGAAAATTTTTCAAGATTATTTTGGTTTTACTTTCTTCAAAAATTATTAGCTCTGTTCAATTCTTTTCCGAACTTGATTCCACAATCGACTCATTTTGGATGCAATCTTGTACCATAATATCCTTAAGGAAGTTGGAAAAGTTGTAATATACTTATTATTCTTGTGTTTGTTATGTTGTAAAAGGATGAAATGCGTGAGAATGGTGATATACTTAAAATTATCATAAAACTTCGTTTTATCCTTGTGTTTGGAAAAGTTGGAAAAGTTGGAAAAGTTGCCATACACTTATTATCCTTGTATTTGTTATGTTATAGAAGGATGAAATGCGTGAGAACGGTGATATACTCAAAATTATCATAAAATTTCGTTTTATCTATTAGATATTATAATTCTAATATGTACTAAATTTATGAAATTGGTTTGATTATTGGAGCGGGTTAGGGTCGCAAAATGACTGATCCGATATTTTAGGGTCGGGTCAGCCATATCTTGTTAGGGACAGATACCTGACCCGTGCCCACCCCTAAGTACAATAGTAATTATAACTTGTGATGGGATGGATTAGAGTAATGCCACGACAACACTCTATTATGCAAAACATTATGAAATAATCCCGTCGTATAAAATCGATTTAAACAATCTTGTTAGCTGTCAGAAAATTGAAAATTTGAACTTGCCAAGGGACAAGACTACAATCACAACATGATAATCAAATCCAACCAAGAAGCAATATGATTAATTTTGGCGGCTGAAGTTTGGAATTCAGCTCCATGGAGGGCAGAAGACTGCTTTCTGCGATAATTGCTGAAGCTTTTCGTTCGTGGCATCCTTTTTGGCTGCTAGACATTTGGAACAAAATCTAAAGATAGCTTATTTTACATCTCTTGACAAGAAATCAAAACAACTAATTTGGCACGATTTGAATAATTTCAATTTTCTTTTGTAAAAATATGGCTGTTTTTATTTTAAAAGTTAACGACGTATATTTGAGGCACATCAAGTTTGGCTGGACACCTAGATGAGCACGATAACATATCAGAAATGGGTGTGGAGAATTCGGATATTTAGTAAATTTTTTGCACTGGGCTGGAGGGAAGTAGGCAAAGCCAAAAAAAAAAAAAGAATAAAAATGTCTTACATATATTTTGTGTATATATTTTGGAAGTCGGTGAAGCAATTATTGAGATATCCTCACTATACTAAAAGTGCGAGTTGGAGTTGCTACAGTGCTCATGGACGGGTTATTCGGTAATTTTGAACAACTTCGGTGGCGTTTTCATAGGCAGATAGACTGATTATGCTGTAAATTTCGACAATTCCAGTGACATTTCATAGGCATTTGTTTGGGCTTGCCCTCTTGCGCCAGAGCTCATTTGATAAGACGTGCGTGGTAACAAGGAGAATCAACTGCCGGCTGTGGGACTATGGCCGAAAGGGAATATTCGATGTTCCGGCTTTCTTCATCCAAGGAGAAAAAGATATGCCATGCTAAACGTCTTTTTCCTATTTCTTGGAATCAAATTTTGCAAAATATGAATGGTTATTTTTTCACAAAGGAGTTTTCTCCATGATTCCAATACCATAGGTCCAAGAGCATTGGGAAAGGGGTACCGATACACGTACATAATGTTAGAATTTGCTCAAGACAAATTTCACTTTTTTCAAGTACTAGTTAAAATAGGAATAAATCAAATCACCAAGTAATAATGCCAATAGTGATAATAAAATGTAGGAAAAATAAAAGACACAGGACACCAACATTTTTACGTGAAAAATCCAAATTGAAAAAATCACTGGACCTAGTTCAGTAAAAAATCTTTACTATCACAATAATAGAAATACACAGATCTATCTGAAAATATTCGAATGACAATAATATCATCAATATCAACCAAGCGAAATTACTATAAAATCACCCCTAAAAATTATAACTATCAAAGATGAGTAGAATTTGACAAGAGAATCGTGTGAATAAAATTTCATCTCAATCGAATTTCAAATCACATTTCAATTGAGATTTCAAAGTTGCAAAGAACTTTCAGTCTAGCTCTCACCCTTTCTCCCTCTTTGTTTCTCTCTTGAATTATGCGGCTGGAAATCTTCTCACAAGAAGGTAAGTCTTCTTGTGGCTGCTCCTTATATGTTTCTCGGTTTTCCAGTCTTGTGGCTGAAGCTTTTTTCCTCCTTTTAAGAATGAAAACCTACGTGTTTGTTTTTGCGTGATTTGGCCCACAAATATGATGGCCCACAACCAACAAAGAGATAAAAGATAAATCAGAGACCAATCAATTAATTTTGTCCTGTGTAACGTGTGGCCCCTTTTTTTCCTTTTAAACATAGATAAAAAATTTTGAATTTGACACCACTCACTTAAATGCCCTTTATCTGCACTATCTAATCCATTCCAATCACATGTAATACGCGCATTTATCTGCACTATCTGCACTATCTCACTTAAATCATCCCTTGTACTAAATAATTAAATATACGTTTCTGGTCCTAATGTTGTCAGGTGTATTATTGGGATTTCAATTCTAAAAGCAGTCTGTAATCTTATGTAAGAAGAGTCGCCCATTAATAGGCAAACATAAGATCATATACACCATGGCGTTCTCTTTTGATCTTTTATTTTTCTCAGTTTCCTCAGTTGTATTCCTTCTAGCCCTTTTGAAATGGTTCTATGCTGCTTCTAAACCCCAAAAAAAGCTACCACCATCTCCACCAAAGCTCCCAATAATTGGAAATCTTCACCAGCTTGGCTTGCTTCCGCACAGATCCCTCCAGTCATTGTCAAGAAAATATGGCCCACTCATGCTACTTCATTTTGGAAGCAAGCCAGTGCTGGTAGCCTCTTCCGCTGATGCAGCTAGCCAGATCATGAAAACCCATGATCTGGTTTTTTCAAACAGGCCTAAATCGAGCATTAAAGATAGACTATTCTACGGAAGTAAGGACGTAGGATTTACACCGTATGGTGAGTATTGGAGACAAGCCAAAAGCATTTGTGTGCTGCATCTTTTGAGTAACAAAAGGGTTCAGTCATATCAGTATGTTAGAGAAGAAGAGACATCACTCATGATCGAAAAGATCAGCCAGATGTGTTCTTCTTCACCTGTAAACTTAACTGAAATATTTGTAACTCTCGCAAATGATATAATTTGTAGGGTTGCCCTGGGGAGGAAGTATAGTGAGGAAGAAAAAGGAAGGAAAATTATGGAAACTTTTATGGTTTTTGTTGAGTTACTGGGTGTTTTTGATGTAGGAGACTACATTCCTTGGCTTTCATGGGTTAATCGTTTCAATGGTTTGGACTTGAAAGTGGAGAAATTTGCTAAACTGATTGATGAATTTCTTGAGGGTGTAATAGAAGAGCACATAAATAAGAGGAAAGGTGAGGCTGAAAATGACCATTCCGTTGAGGCAAGATGCCTAGACTTTGTGGACATTCTGATCGAGGTTAATAAGGAAAGCACTATCGGCTTTGCTCTTGGCCGTGATGATATGAAAGCTATCATCCTGGTAAATTGGATCTCTCTCCATCTCTTTAATTACATCGCACTATGAGAATTTATAATTAGTTTCAACTCTGAAAAGAATTATGTTTACTGCTAATAAATTATCTAGTACTAGTTTTGAAGGTAGTGACTTGCACTAGGCTGGAAGGTTTAGATTTTGTTTGGTACTATCGTACAAATGTTTTCAGTTTAGTTGACTTGGACATGACAACTTATTAAATGGCATTCTTCTACTTTACTCCGATGTGCTAGATCAAAATCTATTTGGTTTGTAAGGTTTACTGAATTCAATATTATTAAACTTGGATGGTTGAATGAACCAGATGAGCTTTTGGTTCATGCCTTCATGGTTCAACCACTAATTCAATTAAATGTTTTCTTATTTTAGTTATAATTAGAAGATTTGAATAATAACAATTATATAAAGGGAAAAATTTCTAGTGGCTAGCCTGTTCAACTGTTGGAGTTTTACCAGGTTTGTCCGGTTTGATCAGTTTATGTTTGAGTTTGACTCATTTTTTTATTTTTTTTTCTTGCTTTAACATAAAATCTTGTGAATGGCAATCGGGTCGGATATGAGTTGACGGATCGGGTTGAGACCCATGTACAATAGACAATCTGCTGACCCGAATACAACCCGTCAACTCGTAACGGGTCAGGATACCTGACCTGAACCCGAAATTTTCGGGTTGGCAGGTCACCCGAATGACTCCAAACATAATTTCAATTTACTAATTTACCACTGTAGTTTTTAACAGAACTAATTTCACATAAGACTAATTACATATGAAGTAATAAAAATCTCGATAAAATAATTTCAAACCAAATCTGAAATAAATTAAAATACTGTAAAAGTGTTTTTATCCCAAACCAGATCTAAAATAAATTAAGACACTATAAAAGTAGAAAATAATGTAATACATCATTTGTCCAAACATAATGATTCCAACTTCACACAAGTTTAACAAATTCATTTAGGATTAAGTGGTTAATGCCTTTGGAAAAAAAAAAGAATAACTTAGTTTAGTTAGATAAAATATTTTTATATTTATTAAATTATTTTTAGTTCATAAACGGGTTAATAGGTCAACCTATGGGTGACCTAAATTTGACCTGTTTTTTTTTCGGATTCATCAGGTTTGACCTGATTCTGTCCAACAGTTGTATGGAATTTTTTTTTTTGAATTTCATAAAAAAAATGAAAACAAAAGATTACATAGTAGAAATTCCATGTAAACAAAAGATTCTGAAAGCAAAAAATGTGCGAATTCCATGTAAACAAAAGATTAACATACTTGAACAAAAAATAAAAGTCATAAACATATCTAGGATAATTAAGTCAAATATTTATTAATTGTATTCTATTCTGACATCTAAATATTGATCACACTAAATATTGAAGAATGAATAATGATAAATATTTATCCCTACCATTTTGGGTAGAAGACCTTTTTATTTTGGACATTACTGCATACCAAACAAGAGGTAAGGATATTAAGTAAACATACAAAAAGGGTTGACTCACTATCAAAATTCTAAAATTACCACACAACTCTATATATATACACTCTTTAGTATATTTAATTTATATCAAAATTACTATGAATGTATGTAATCACACTCATTTTCGTCCCTTATATTTGAATACCTTCCCTTGTTATCAGATTAAAAGAAAAATTCATCCCTTGCATTTGAATACCTTCTCTTGTAAACAATTTTCAAAAAAAAAAAAAAAATCCTCAATTGTTGCTTGGGTTAACCGAACTTTATGCACTTAAACTTGAGACCATTTAATGTTTCCAAAACGATAAGGTTTAAGGATTTGTTATCTGTCCAGTGATGCAGAAAACTTGAAATAAATGTATAACATGGTAACTTTTAAATTTACATGTACCTAACCCTATTAATCTTTTGACAAGTTCAACTCTACTACGTAAATCTTCAGTTTTTGCACTTCACGATTGAGTTTCTAAAATTGGATTGCATACCAGAACTGCAGATTTTGGAGGAAAAAAGAGCAATAATAATCAACATTTTAGAGGGAAAAGCAACATAGTGTTTCGTCTTGTATGTGGCAATTAAACGCTTATTGCGATAGTATGAATATTGTTAATTTGTCTTCATTTTTCTTTTTCTTTGGAAAGGTGTGATACAAATTTATTACTTGGGTGCAAACGTGCCAATTATTTTTGAAATTGGAAATTTAGATTTTTTTTTTTTAAAAAAAAAACATCTATGCATGTTCTAAAGCAACACTTTCTTTCATTCCGTCATGCAGAACATGCTTGTCGATGGAACTGACACAACAGAGTCAGTTGTGGAATGGGCAATGTCAGAACTTCTAAAGAAACCTATAACCTTGCAGAAATTACAGGCTGAGGTAAGAGAAGTGACCCAGGGAAAACCAGAAATAACTCAAGATGATTTGGAGAAGATGAGATACTTAAAAGCAGTGATTAAAGAAACTCTACGATTTCATGTTCCTGTTCCATTACTGGTTCCTCGAGAATCAACTCAAGACATCAAAATAATGGGGTGTGATATACCAGCAGGCACACTAGTGTTGGTGAATGCTAGTGCAATTGCAAGAGACCCCCTGTTGTGGGAGAACCCTGAGGAATTTCAACCTGAGAGGTTTCTGAATTCCAATATAGATTTTCGAGGTTTTAACTTTGAGTTAATTCCTTTTGGTGCCGGACGAAGGGTTTGCCCGGGTATCAACTTCGCCATATCCGTAAATGAACTTGCATTGGCAAAATTGGTCAACAAATTTAATTTTGCGTTGCCTGATGGAATCAAGCCTGAGGATCTGGACATGACTGAAGCAGCTGGTATCACAGTTCACAGAAAACATCCTCTACATGCTATTGCCACCCCATATCTTTGTTAATGGCTTCGTATTCATATGCTTTCTTTTTTATTTTTGTGGTCTTATTTCTAGTGGAAGTTCTCGTACTATTAATAAGTGATAATAATAATGTAATAATATAAAAAAATAAAAAGGTATTTTGTTTAATTTTTTTGTATATAAAAAATGTTGAATTGAATTACTTATAAGAGTGAAGTGACTAAAAGATAATATTAAGAAGTAAATTGATAATAGTAATATAGTTTTAAGGGGATAAAGTGATAATAACGCATCCTGGAAGTACCTAAACTTTGCTCCTCCTTAGCATTTTGCAGCATCCTCGGATTCTTCAATCTTTGAATTTCTGCTAGAATAATTGACTGAGAAGGCCGGTTTTCCCTCCCCTGCTCTTTTACTTCTCTACCTTAAGGTTTTGCCTAGGGGTCTAGCTCAATAGCTTAAGAGTAGAAATTATCTCCGCCCACATCGTGAATTCTTAAGAAGTATGCCCATGTTTAATTTATGTTTTGAAGTCCATCGAAGCATTGCACCGCGGACGAAGTGACCGGGTCAAGGTCAACACCTATGTGGGGCCAGGCCCAGGAAAGTCCACGGGCCATTTACTGTAGAGATACAGGCTTGGAAACAAGCAAACTTCTTGGACTTGGGAGTCAATCACATTTATGTGATGGGCTGAGACGCGTGTGGAGCCCTGTGATTCTTGTCCAGAAGTACCTTGGCCGAAAAACAGTTATTCACTTGGTCCATTGAGGCTAATAGAACGGGGCTTACGATCCGTGGTGTTTACTTTTTGGACCAATAGTATTGTTTATTGGTTTCCCTTTGTTTTTCCGTTGCCAAATTATGTTCCTGGCTTTTCTAGACCGGAATTCATTTTAAACGTCAATGCGGAAGAATTAATTATTTTCCTCTTTTTTACCCTATAATTGTGGTTTTATTTTTGTTCCCTTTATTTGCCAAATTCATTTTGGATTATGGATATATGGATTCATTTTGTATGTTGATTTCCATACATTTTGGATTATGGATATGTGGATTCATTTTGTATTTTTGTTCCCAATATATGGATATTGGGTCGTACTATTATTTTGATTATAATGCAGTTGTTGTTTAATCATATTTTTCATTTGTGACGGGAATTGAGCAAGATTCAGAATACAAACAGTTAATCAAGATATAAAAATATAAAAAACTCAGGTGAAATTGTTTTAGCTTCTCTCCCTTTCTTTTTTTACTATCCCAAAGTTATAAATTTTAAGTTGTAGTTTTGTCTGAAATTCTATAGTTCAATGCACGTAGTAAAAAAATAAAAAAAAAAAACCAGTCCTTGTTGTTCTCATATGTTCTCATGTTGTAAGAGGTTTCGATTTGTCCTTATTTTTCAGGCAATTACATTTTATTCCTTGTGGTTTAGTATTTTTGTACATAACCCCCTACGGTTTCAAAAGTTATATATAATCTCCTCATGATTTGAATTAAAATGTCATAACGAATTCATATAAAATGTCAAAATACCCCTATATAAAGTTGAAAAATTATTTATTAACCACAGGAGGGTTATGTGTATATTTTGAAAATCTTAAAGGGATTATATGATAAAATATTAAACCATAAGGGGGTTATATGATAAATATAAAACCATGTGGAGTTAACGTATTATGTATATTATGTTTTATATTTTGGTTACTTCAATCATTTTAATTTTTAAACAATGGTTATTTTGACATTTTAAAAGGTTTCATTACGAATGACTATTTTCGTCATTTTGACACTTTAATCCAAAGTAAAAGGGGTTATATATAATTTTTGAAACTATAAGAGAATTATATACAAAAATACTAAACTATATGGGAGTAAAGTGTAATTTTCTCCTTATAGATTTGTCCTTATTTTTCCATCCTCTTCCTCTTTTGTCATTTTTCTGCAAGTCTATCCATATAGATACCACACGCCTGCCAACTGACACAAGCTTGTCCGTTCTTGTTTTCCAATTTTTTGTCTGAAATCAGAGTCTTGTAGCCTGAGCAAAATACAGGGGAGATGAAAGCAAATGGCAAGCTCCTCAGGCTTGGTATCGGAGCTAAAGATTGATGTATATATGTTTCATCCAATCTTTTTTTCGCTTTTTCCTTTAATCTTACTGTGGTTTCTCTTCAAATTAGTTTCAAATTCGAGAAAGAATCAGCCACCATCGCCACCAGGACTTCCGATTATTGGAAATCTTCATCAGCTAAGCTCACTGCTTCACTATCCTCTCCACTCCTTAGCCCAAAAATATGGTCCAATCATGTTTCTCAAATTTGGTAGTGTTCCAACGGTTGTAGTTTCATCAGCTGATGGAGCTAGCCTAATCATGAAAACCCACGATTTGATTTTCTCTGATAGGCCATTTTCGAGCACAGCTAATAAACTTCTCTATAACATGAAGGATATATCGGTAGCACCCTATGGCGAGTATTGGAGACAGTTAAAAGAGTATTTGTGTTCTTCAGCTCCTGAGCAACAAAAAAGTTCAGGCGTTTCGTAATATAAGGGAAGAGGAAACGTCGATTATGATGCAGAAGATTAAAGACGCTTCTTTGGATTCGACACCTGTGAATTTGAGCGAAATGTTTGTTTCGCTGACTAATGATATTGTATGCAGATCGGCTTTGGGAGGAAATACGGTGGAGGGGAAACTGGAAAGAAATTCAAGCTGCTGTTGGGCCAATTCTTGGAGTTACTGAACGGAGGAAGTTTAGTCAAATCTGTGCCCTGTCTCCGCTGGATTAATCGAGTTAATGGTTACGATGCCAGAGTGGATCGCGTTGCTAGAGAAGTAGATGAGTTCTTGGAGGGCGTGGTCCAAGAAAGGTTGGATGGTGCAGTGGAAAAATATTCCTGCAGGCCAAGTGGTGAGACGATTGATGGTGAAAGCAGAGAAGACTTTCTTGATATTTTGCTGAAAATCTATAAAGATAACGCAACAGGTGTAACCATGGACAGGGACAGCGTCAAAGCTATAATATTGGTAAGCACAATTTTCTCTGCAGTGAATATAAAATCATTAAGCTTCATTTTCTCAGTCATAACTCATTGCGTCATCTCTGATCATTCTCACGGGCAATCAACAAAATTACTGTAAAACTATTGCCAAAAAGCTTTGGGCTTTGGTCAAGAGAATCAACAAAATTACTGTACAAGTGCACATTTTTTAGCTGTAGGATGTATTCTCTGCTGGAACTGATACCACGGCAACAGTTGCAGAATGGACAATGACAAGAGGTCTTAAGACACCCCATCGTCCTAAAGAAACTGCAAACTGAAATTAGAGAGGTTGTTGGTCTCAAGGAAGAGATATCTGAGGCTGACTTAGAAAAGATGCATTATTTAAAAGCAGTGACCAAGGAAACTCTTCGCTTACATCCTCCAATTCCGTTGCTGGTTCCTAGAGAGGCAAGAGAAGATGTCAAAATAATGGGATATGATATTGCAGCTGGTACAATGGTGATCATCAATGCTTGGGCAATAGGTAGAGATCCCGCGTATTGGGATGAACCTGAGAACTTTAAGCCAGAGAGATTTTTGGATTCCTCTGTGGATTTTAAAGGGCATGATTTCCAGTTAATCCCATTTGGTGCTGGTAGGAGGGGTTGTCCTGGAATCGCTTTTGCTGTTGCTAGTAATGAACTTGTGTTGGCAAATTTGGTAAGCAAGTTTGATTGGCAATTTCCCGGAGCACAGGGAAAAGAGTTGGATATGACAGAATGCCCTGACGTTGCAGTTCGTCGCAAAATTCCTCTTCTTGTTATTCCATCCCCACTTCCTTGAATTCTTAACATGGCCGAATGCTGCAGATTCTGTATTCTTGTCTTGATACAAGTGTTGGATTGATTCTTGAGAAGGGTTGCAATCGCACTGTGCAATACAAGGTCTCATCTTTGGCCTAGGAGCCGTGGTAAGTCTGGAACATTTTTTCATCAACCTCCCAAACTGGCAAACTTAGTCGGCCTCCTTCGACTCGATCTGAGACCGTCCATTGCACAGTGTGGTTACAGATGTTCCAAAACCTTGATTCTTACTCTTCGTGCTCTTTCTCCAGGCCGCTTCTTTCTTGTAATAAAAACTAGTAAATTTATGTAATTATGGCCTTAGCAAATTTCCCCGTTACAGTACAGAAAATAAAGAAAATCTTTCATCTCTGCTATAATTTTGTTCCACGGAAAAGGACTATTGATAGGGTAATCACATTGTTCGAATGCCAAAGACCGGAATCATTTTTCTTGGGACTTCAATCTTTTTTGTTTTAGTTACCAGATCAAAGTCTCGTTGGCTCTATAAGCCAAACCAACCAATTGAACTGAAAGTTTCCGGCTCAACTACATAGTTTATGCAGTAATCCTACTTCATTTCATCTTCAAAAAATTGTAGTATAGAAAATGACAGGCTCCTTATTTTAGGACAATGTACAAAGGCATAAAGGACCAAGTTAAAACAAAAAATTTAGACTAAAATTAGAGGCATAGAGTGGCTATATGCTGGTGTTTATTAACAAATGGACCTAATTGGAGGTATACAGTGGGTAGAACTAAGCTTTCCTTTTCGTTTTCTTATAATTGTTAAAATTAGTTTGGTAGCAACTCATAACCTTCGATTTTTATTTTTATTTTTTAAAAAAAGGGAATAAGTGTACGCCGGAAGAATGATGGGATTTTGAAATTAGGGTAAGATTGATGGTTGAGATCACCCCATTTCAATTTTGAATGGTTGAAATAAATTTTGAGCGAAAACATAACATTCATGGTGAAATCTGCAATTGAATGATACCCCCATGCAGATCAGTTGTGTTACTGCATAGACATGTTGTTTGTTGAGTATATAATAATTGTTTGATCATATAAATTACAGATCACAATTAGAGCCTTCGATCCTTAAGCCCGTTGTTCACAGTTGAAGTATAGAACAATCATGCTTAATGACTCTTTAGGACTCCTGGATCTACAATTGGTACATCAATTCGAGTAGAATATCTGTTTAGAAATACTAATCTAAAGATGACAGCAAATTTGGTTAATCATTTGGTTCGATGAGAAGATGGATGACTGCTATTGTCTTCACAATCACATCATTGATTTTTGGGTAAAATTTTTCCCCTTATGGTTTAGCGT